GCTGTGCTTAAGAGACGATGGACTTGAGGCGTACCGCTAGCCTTGTAACTGCAGCCTGGAGCTCAGCTCAGGGCACTTACTTAATCCAAGATTTGTGTCTCGCGATGTGTTGTTCAAGGTCAACTTAGAAGTGCCAGTGAACAATCTCTAGCAACCTCTGACTGGAGCTCCTGTACTATTTGCCCGAAACTCTACGCCCTCAAACACACAACAGCATCACCAGCCTCCCGGCAGAGGCAGTCGCGCCACTCGTCCCGCTTAAAGCTGCAATACTTTGGCAGTCCTTCAGAGTAGGTTATGGGGTGGACTCTTCTAGGTTGGAGAAGGCTCCAGCACAGAGCCTCTGTGGGACCACCATTCACTGTTGCATGTACGGTACAGTATGTATGAAAGTACGTATAAGACATGTATGTGTGTGCGCTCATCATGAAAGAAACAAGGCATCCATCCATCCATCATTCCATCATTCCATCCTTCCATCCATCCGTCCGTTCATCCGTCCCTACCTACGTACATACATACATACATACATACATACTTACTTACTTATATCCATGCATGCATGCATGCATGCATGCATGCATGCATACATACATACCTGACATAAAAACGTACACGGATACATGTGTGTGTGGGCGTTCTGACAACAAACAATTGTTGCGAAACCTCAGGTTGCCTGCCCCCTGGACACAGCAAATGATCTTCTCACAATTCGTCCAGAGCGTCAGGATCAGACGTCCCCACATCATTTGGCATGACATGCCAACTAACATAATTTACTAATGATGTGGCCCCAATGCGACTTGGTTGTTGTCCGGTTTTGACCGGAAGGTTTGCGGTGAGGGGAGGGGGCCTTCATGCGCCGAACGTGGGCCCTCAAGTCGTATGGGGCCTTACGGGGCATCCCAGGAGTGTCTCCAACTTTTCCTGTGGGGCCTCAGCTATACTAGAAGGCCTAAACCTCAGACCCTTGAGTTCCTAAAACCTCGAGGTCTGACATTCCTAATGCACGGGCCTTAAGATTTAGAATAGGGATTTGGGGCCCATTATGGTATAACTATAATAAGGAACCCCTAAACCCTAAACCGCCCCAAAATAGTATTGGTAATTATTTCGGCCCCTACATTAAGCCTTCCATGGCTCGGAAGACTTCCGCGGCCTGCGGGATATCGCCGGAAAGCGTGTTTCACTTCATCCGCCTGGTTTTGCATTGGGACGAGGGCGGTTTAGGTTTAGGGTTTTGGGTTTCGGCTCTCACACTCGGACAATCCAGGCGAGGCATTAGGTTCGAGGTCTGCAAGAGTGAAACCAGCACACATGCATCGAACAATACAGCGAGGACCCTACGATAGAACCTCTAAGTCAATACTTTGCGCACGTGTGGCCACCGAAATCCGCTAGATCACTGTAACTAGTTAGCGGACTTCGACGGAAGTACATACTGGAGGAAACAAAGAAAGTTGGGGCTCAGGAGTAAAGATACAGTGGGCCATAGTGGACTAAACAATGGGGCTGGATTACCCAGGTACAAAACCCGTTTCCTCTTCATTCCCTAACTTGAGTGAAACCTTATTTGTCCAAGACATGAATCTTGCTAACGACCGCCTACTAATTACATCATCTCCGATACAATGCACATGAATCATCCATAGCAGAATTTGTTGA